ATAATTATACGAATGATAAGGGCTGGCTTATAAGACTTATTTTTTAATTTATTTATTTAATAGTTTGAGTTTAGTTTAGAGGATAGGACAAGCAAGATGGAGCAATAGGTCCCTTGTTGTCCCTAACCACTATGTTATGTTTCTACATGATTGAAAGAAGGAAATCATTTAGTCAATAAAGATTAATGTAACAAGAACACTGTTAAAACATCCTATATACAAAAGAATGGCATTCCAAGAGGAGCATATATCTTTTATCTTGCTGCAAGGAACAATCATTTTAGAAGAAAATACCATGAATTTGTCAATTTTAGGTTTGTATGTTCTACTTCCCATCAGAAACACAACAGGTGAAACTAAAAAGCGTCAGACATTCACTACCAATTTTTGGAAATGACATTTAATTAAGATGCAAAAAAACCCACAAAATTTATATTTCATCTTTGTCTCTTGTAAAATTATCTTTCAAGTTTTATGTCTTATCCAAATTAAGCATAGTAATGATCTAGAATTCCATCACATTAAAAAAAACTCCTGAAGGACGATCACATCTTATTGAATACAGTAATCTTTTCATAGGCTTTACACAAAGAATAAAACTTTCAAAACACTTTTTTTTACAAAACAATTACTTTAATTTCTGCTTAATAATAATAATGCATGTAATTGAGTCTATTTAGATCAACAGTTTTCATGTCAAGAAACATTTAACTATCAAAATACATCCTCAATAATGAAATGCCTGAAGAACCACAAATTTGAAAACTTCTCCATCAGAAGCAATTAAAATAATGATACTTTAAGCATGTGAAAATGGGATGCTAGCAAACTTTGATATTTTTTTTCTTGGAAAGCAAAATAGCAAACCAAGCCTTAGTTGAAAAGTCGCACATTATAATCTCAATATGGTGTGCTAGGAAACTTCTAAAAAATAGTTTATATTATTTCTAAATGGATGAAGTGTCCCTTAAAATGTAAACATGAAAATGGAACATCAGCAACGTTACTAAAAAAAACATTACACAACAAGAAAGATTTTAAAGGGTTTTTTTCTTGCAAGACATGTTAGCTTGCAAAAAATATTGTATTAGGAAATCAAAATCAAGAGCAAAATAAAACATGGCATCTTAAAAATAAATAAACTGAAAATTGCTCACCCAATTAACTTTGATGTACATTCTTTTATAATGTACGTTATATACAAATCTATATTAATTATACCAAGAAGTATATTTATAAACAACAAAAATACATAGAATATTATAATTTGTTGTTGATTAGTTTCAATAACTTTGTATAATTTTGGATTTGCCAATACTATAAACATGCTTCAATATATGCTGAATACTGGTTGTGGTAACTTTACTGTTTAATATTTGGCAGTACATACAAAAATAAATTATTTACACAAATTAGCACTATTTCATAAATACCTTTTTTAAGAGATATCTTGATCAAAGGATTAGCGATGAACTCAGCCAGGTTCATGTCCTTCTGCATCAAAGACTACAGAAAAAGAATTAAGTTAGATAAAGTTGAAACTCATTTTATTATCAAAATTCAAAACATTACAATTATTTTTGTATAGTATCACCACAGCTTTTCAACCATTTAATTCATACTAGTAGCTTATGATTCTGATATAATAAAGAAAAATTTTTTAATACCTTTTCTTTTAGTATTTCACACAGAAATACATTTTTTATCCTTTCCTGTTTGCTGTAACCCAGTACAACCATTTTCATCAGGGTATTCACTTACCTTTTATACACTGTTATAATATTGGATTGCAATTTTAGACATAATATATAAATACACTACCCAAAATAATTAAAGTAAAATTGGAACAGGAAATTATTAAGGCTATGACAAGGCAAAAAAACACTGTCAAAAGATCAATCACCCCTAGGTTAATATTTATGCAAGTCAGTTATCTGATCTCAGCCTGTGTTCATAAATGAATATCTGGTAGATATGCTTTAACATCTATATAGTTTGTGAAATTTCACTTCAATATGTAGCAGTCACCATGAACTGTAACATCTTGGTTTACAATGAGTGTGTTTCTTTTTTAACTTGTGCTATAGGTAGTGGTTTTCAACCGTTACTATACAGAAGCCCACATCTTAACCCTTAGATGCATTGGGTTGGTCACAAATGAACCACATTATTGGTTTAAAATTGATGATGAAATTTTTTGTTTGACCAAACTTTTTCCTTAATTAACTCTTCTTGGTGAATACATCACATTAATTTCACCAAAACACAAAAAAACTATTTATTTTATAGTAATTTTGAATGAAATGACATGGGTTACTAGTGTTCCAAGTCATGCATATGACAAGAATTGTGTTAATTTTTCTGAAAATTGTGGCATGAAAAGTGTCATGAAGAACACGAGTACACATCAAGAAACACTGCTACTACTTCCACGAGCAAAAATTTTCAAGGAGCCTTACCTCTAAAGACAAGAAAAACTAGCATATCACATACAAAATGCACCACACCTATCTACTCTGTACATTCCCACATAACAAATACAACTGTTTGTGCTAACTGTAATTTATAACTATCCTACTCAAGAAACTGCAATGTATGTTTGCTGATGGTGCAGTATTTCTGGATATTTCTGTTACTGATCTGGTGATGTGATGATCCTGCTTGTGTTCTTTTAGATTAAACAAAAGAAATTTATGCATAAATGTAGTCTGAATCCTTTTTTTTTACTTTGGTAAGTCACTTGTGACTCATGTTATGCATTAACATAAATTACTTAATGCATTTAATGGTTAACTGTATTGCCTATCCTAGGCCCTGATCACAAACCCAAAAGATCCTGACAAAAACAAAAGGCGAACAGGCCTACTTAATATGAGAAATATGGTATATGCAATACTATTATAACTTAATAAGAAACTTGCCCTTGCTTGACATTAAATAACCTATTTCAGCTGTGCTTTGTTTCTGTTATGTTATATAAATGTGTACTTTTAACTCATCAATTAATTCTATTAACATAGCCTATACATTCCAAAAATTAGCAAATTTCTGATACGGTACTGTAACTGAAAAACATTGGATACAGGTATTTGAGATTAGCCTCCAGGAGTATGCCAATAACACAGAATAATAAAAACAAGTTTGGGTGTGAATCATGACTACAAGATAGTGCAGTATTTTTGTGAAGTGTGTAAGTAATCACAGCAGCATTTAAAGCTTAAGCTATTTAACTTCAGGTTTAATAAAGTCTTGTGAATTAAAATGTAAACAAATGTGTATATCTGCCTTCTCCCTATAAATACTATTGAAGCTGATGCTTTCCTAAATTTCTTTCTTTAATTTTTTTTGAAATGCATTATTATTTCCATACTCTTTCAACAGTTCTGCAACTAAACATGGTTATCAATGCAAAACTTTATTTTTATGAACTTGATAGACAATCTGAGAGGAGAGCAACTCCAAGAAATATCACCATACATTTGAAAGGCTTGTTTCTTCCATCAGACTTTATACTCATTTGCATCCAATTTTTATTCGATAATTCCGCTAGAAAAAAAATGGTTGTAATATCAAGTCGAAACTAGAAGTACAATATCCTTTTTGTTCATGACAAGAAAACAAAGATAGCTCTATACAAGTCTCTTAAGGAATGTTAATATAAAATACCACTTAAAAATATTTCTTATACATATTTTTGTCTATCTTACCTTAATTTTTTTTAGCTCTCCTTCTACTGCATCAAGTTTTTTTTCTTTTGCTGCTGCAGAGTAAATAGCTGTAGCATATCGTCCTTCAATTCCAAATACTGCAATTGGAGGCTTGCACATACAAAAAAAAAGATATTGTAATAGTGGTTGAAAATATCTTCCAGTCCCCCCCAAAAAAAATAATAATCAAAGAAAAAATTACAGGATTATTAACATAATTGTTTAGGAATAAACAATTATAGCCACAAGTCAACATTTCCCTCCATTACAGTTGTATGCTTACACAACTATTAACAAAGCTATTTCAAAAGAAATATGTTTCATCACACAACATATTTCTTACAATTTTATTATTTCTTGAATTCTTTTTTATTTAATATGAATCTTTAAAACTTTCATTTTTTATCCTGAAATTATTTTTCATCTTCCAACTGCATAGTTTGTATGTTAATAAAAACATATACATTAAAAAATACAGATCTCCAATTTTTATCTACTTAAGAGAATACTTAACATTACAAGAGCTGCAAAACAGTTGTGCAGATACACACACAGTGTACACTAAAGGATTTGGCCAGGACCTGAAGATTTTACACTAGAGATGACAAGGAACATTCTTACAACAGCCATTCCAATAGAGATTACAAGGAACATTCACACAACAGCCATTCCCATAGAATGACAATGAACATTCTCACAACAGCCATCCCCATAGAGATGACAAGGAACATTCTTACAACAGCCATTCCCATAGAGATTACAAGGAACATTCACACAACAGCCATTCCCATATAATGACAAGGAACATTCTCACAACAGCCATCCCCATAGAGATTACAAGGAACATTCACACAACAGCCATCCCCATAGAGATGACAAGGAACATTCTCACAACAGCTATCTCCAACCTTATATTTCAGTTAAATGTCAGTGTGGTAGTCATGAAAAACATAATTAGGTTTAGTTTACTGAGTATTATCATTAGCAAAATGTCTTGTTGGAATGCCAAGCTAGTTTTATCAAACCATTACCTGATCGTGCTATCTCTGATAAATGTGTTGTTTTTATTTACCACTGTAGGGAAATCATGAAGCAGAAGTAATTGACTCAATCAAAATAAGCTTTCGTTCTCTTCAACAGAAATGATTATATTGAAATTTCATCTGTTATTGACTTTAAACCAAATAATTTACATGTACTGGTAGCACAATTTCATCAAAATAAAGCAACTCACAACAATTATGCTTGGTATAATGTTTTATAAATATATATATATATATATATAGATAGATAGATATATATGTAATATGTTTATACAGATGTGACTGAAGTCTTCATGGACTTTTTCAGCATGAAATTTTTACTGGTCTGTTATTACTAATATGTCATAATTTTAAGTCATTTTAATTTTCTTAATACTATCTATATTTCTTTTTATTTACTTCTATGTAGTGATCCACTATTGAATTAGCCATTACTAATATCATACACACAGATAATGACTTTAAACCAATTTATATCTACTGGTGACAAAATTATATTTAGATAGGGTAACTCACGACAACCATGCTTGGTCTAATATTTAAGATTATTTATCTATATGGAAACAGGGGCAAAATTCGGCAGTACTCAGCACCAGGATTTAGTCTATTTGTTTTTCATCTAACACATATGATTTCTGTCATACTGTTAGAAAGAAGGCATGTCACAACTCACAAAATCTAAACATTCATTCAATATTCTTCACATGAACAAATAAATGATCTAAATGTTTTTAACAAAATCAAGAAGAGAAGTTATTTAGCAGCTTCATTATCAATCACTATGAAAAGTACATAGTCTCATCTAATAATGGTTGGAGACAAAACCTTGTTGAAACATTGGACATTTGCTGTTGTTATAGTTTTTCTTCATTACCCATTCAAGCCATCTCCAACCATTATTAGTCTCAAAGTGGGTTCCTCATCATCGAATAGTCTCATCTAGCTGTATGATTGGCCAATAATGATATGTATATGCAAGTGTTGTGTTCTATTAGCTGATGCTCTGTGATTGGTACCTATCCCTCATATTAGTGCACAGTCTTCTTGTCATTCAAAGGAATAAAAAAGCAGAAAAAAAACACCTGAGGTAAGTTTACAATTATGAAATTTTTTAATTGAGTTGCCTGTTTAATATATATATATATATATGTTTCTTTGAAACCATTAAAACAGTAGGTACTTGCATTATTTTTGTTTAATAAACTATATTATAAATTACACACATGAGCAAAATCCTTTCCTGTATATGCACGTGAGTGCCAGCACCTTTGTAGTGAGAATTTCACCTCTGTATGGGAGTAATGTATTTATATAAACATTTTACTTAATCTTCACGAATTTTTTAGAATGTGATCAGATCTAGCATTGCAATTTTGTTATTGTCCCATAGTATTTAATTTCTATATACTTTTTTCTAGTTTAGTTTGTTTTAATTTTCTTATTACTTTCTATGTTTCATTGGTTTCTTTTTTTACTTTCATGTAAAGATCCACTAATGTTACTTTATTCGCAAAAAGGTGCTATTTTCAAATGTTTTATGTCTTGTTAGCTTATGATTTAGATCCTGCTTTAGTTGATAGAAGCCAAAATTTGTTAAATATGCACTATCAGGTATTAGCCCCATGTATTTTATCATTTCTTAGAATGGTGTTTTATAACAATTTTTTGTATTTATATTTCTAAATTTCACTAAATAAAAAGTACAAATGTCTAATTACTACATATTTGTTAATCACAATGTAGCCAATACCCAGAACATGGCAGTACGATTCTAGGCAATAAATATAATAATGCTATATAAGATAACAATGAGACACTAAACTAGCAATCTGTATCATCTGTTGATCAATAGTCAAAGCTTGGAAATTACGAGAATTTGCTCATTAATCAATTGCATTCAACTAACTGACTATTCTCACATTCTTGGATAGTTGAAATAATTAAAAACAGTAATAATTGGAAATAATAGCTTGGGTTAGTTTATTTTCATGACATTAATCAATTTAAGCATAATTTCTATTACTCAATTATTTCTCGAGACTAATCAATGTAACTGATGCTCATGAGTAATAGACAATATTGAGTTAATTGGCCAGCTCTATTGACAGCGATTAATAATATTTGTGATTCTCAACAAGTCTTCTGAATTGGCAAATAGAAAATATTAACACTTTTTTCCTTTATATTTTAAAACATTTTAATCTTTCTAACCCATTCACTGCAGCTGGGACATATTTCCCAGCCAGAGTGAATGGGTTAATTCATACCTCAAATATTCTATAACATCTTAACAATACTTAACTACTTTTTTTTAAGTTTCTCAGCTAAGCATTTGGAAGGAATAATCTTATAAAGAGTATAAATAAATAAATTTTTAAATTTTAAATTAATTTTGCAATTACTTTATCTGGAAAGTAGAATTAAAAATGACTTAATTCATGTTTGAAATCATTAGGTGTTTGGATAATCTATGTATAAGTGGTCTGTTTGTTAAAATGTAAGTGTTGGGAACAAAAGGAATTATGAATTTACTTGTAGGTGGTAATCGGTTTAAAGCTAATGACTTTTGTTTTGGTTACTTGCTTCAATGTATGATGAAAAACTTTGTTGGGTTATATCAACTATCACAAAATCATCAAATCAGTGTGATGAATTCATAACTAACCATAATTTAAAATTATTTAAATAACAACATATATTAGGATCAATCATCCCTAACTTAATATAATTAAGGTTAAGGAACCATTACTTTATAAAATATAGTACTCTTTAAAAAATGTTTCTTACCTGTATGAGCTTTGTATAAGTTGCAGTGGAAGTGGAGAAATGCCTCATCTGTAGAGAAAGGACAATACAACTTATACAATATTGTAAATATTTCTTATATATACATTACGAGGTGTTTTAATTTTATTATTCATATTTTCTCACTTTTCAAAGTCAACAAAATATACCATCCAAGCATGAAAAAAGCTATGTAACAAAAAATGATTAAAACGCATATTTTACTTGAAATGAAATTCATCTTCCGAATTATTTTAGAAAGCATAAAAATATGGCTTTCTCTTTGGTACCATTTTTCAATTTACACTCTGTATCTCAACTTTATGAAAATATTTCAAATGAAGCCTAACCTTTCTGAAAATCCTGAATGATAGTCACAGAACTTTATGAAGACATTTAGTGCACTGAGTCTAACATTCATGCAGCAGATCTATATATATATATATACACACACACACACACACACATTTAACTCTTTCAGCATGGGCTTGGTCCCTAAGACCAACCTCATAACCATTTTGTACTTGTTGTAGTTTTCATGCTATAACTTTTAAATTAGTAAGCAAATGTT